AAGTTACAGGTTCTGTTTGATGTAACCATTACTAAAGAGAAGATCTGTGAAGTCAGTAACCTAAGAGCTGCTTTGTGAATGAGGACTGTCTGAAGAGGAATTTGGAAAGCCTTGTGCTTTACAGGATTCAAATGGAATAACCTGCAACATCCATTTTTGGACACAAAGCAGACATCCTCCTGAGAAGCATCTTCTATTCTGAAACACATCAAAAATCAAAGCTCTGATTTGTAAAACAAGTGTTTTGCTTCATCATATCACCCAGTACAACCATTTCAGAATTTTCATCCAGTCCAAATCTAAAACTTTATATGACACATTTGTAAATACAGGTTTTCAAGCAAGGAATGCAAGGTTTGCTGTTTTTTATTTAGTACCTTCTTCAGAAACAGTATACATTTTGATAATTTAAAGTTTTACTTGGCTGGGCATGGGGGAAGGATAGGAAGTGGAGGCAGGTTTTCAACTGATTTTTTATAAGCTTAGGTCTGCTGCCGTCATTTGATCTTTTACGATTTATAAGGATACCTAGTAGTTTAACTTGGCTCTTAACCAAACACCACACAGCTGCTCACACAGACCCCCTTCCCCCTCAGAGAACAGTGGAGAGAACTGAAGTGGGTAAGGAGACTCGTAGGTTGAGATAAGAACAATTTAATAATTGGTATAAAATAAACTTAAATAATGATAATAATAATAATATTGATGCACAGCTTCATGCCTGATGCACAGCACTATCGCTCACCACCCGCCAGCAGTGATTCCATCCCAAAAGGAACCCCAAATCTGAAACCACAGTCCCAGAAGCGTGAGCCTGAGCGATCCCTGAAAGAATCTCCAGCTTTCTGGTCAGCCCTCATTAATACACTGAACATGATATTACATGATACGGAATATCTCATTGGCATATCCAAATGTCAATTTTGAGTTTTGCTAATTACTATGCTTCCCCGCCCCCCTCAGTCCTTTGCACTTGCAAGCTAGCAAAACACGAAGTCCTTGGATTTCCAGCAACAACTAAAAACTCTAGTATGTTATCAACATTCTTCTCATAACAAATCCCACACTGAAACCAAAGCGCAGCACTATTCCAGCTACTAAGAGGAAAATTAACCCTACCCTAGCAAAACCAGGACAAATGATGAAGTATGACATAAAGATAGTGGGAATGAATGGACAACCTTCTGTATTGTTATGGAAAGACAATGGTTGGCATAAGAGTTATTTTCAGAGATAAGTGTATATACCTCCATTTATCCCCTCCAAATTTTATTCAACCCTCCAAAACTACTGTTCTTTTATATTTGTAAGCAAATTTTCAGATTATTAATTGCACGAGTTATATACTTCAGCACACATTTTTCTTACCTCTTGTGCTTCATGTGCTATTAACTGTTCCATTACCATTTTTCGTCGTCTCTTTTCTCGTTGTTCTCTAGCAAACATATCTTCCTCCAAACGTTTTTGAATTTTTCTTATATATTCATCCTCTGAATAAATACTTAACAGCTCAGTTGCTGTCTGTGCTGTAGTTTCTAGTGTTGTTGCTTGTAACTTCTGTGTTTGCAGCGATTCTTGTATATCGCTGATTGAAAAGATTGAACGGAAAAAGATAAATGATTTTATAGGAATTATAGTGCTTAGAGGTGTTTTAATACAGAACCCTGTGTAGTTACATGCAAGTCAGACAAATGCACAACAGAATTATTTTGGCCAGCACTCTTTGTAGGCACTCTGGTTCTTCTTCATGCCCTTGTGCCCCACAATCACCACAAAGTCCAGGGGGGGGCTCCAATGAGGGCTCCAGCACTGACTGAGTCAACATTTGCTAGTATGAAGCCAAATTCTTCAGAAACAGGAAAGCAGGATGGCTCACAGAATATCAAAGAAAGATGGGTTACTCTTCAATATATTCATACAGTCTGAGTGCAGTTTTGCAGAATTAATGATCACAGGTAGTTTACACACAGACATATCCAGAGCAGTATGCATGAGTGCCACCTGTTCTGAGTATGGTATACATACTCTAAAGGGAACAAAACGGCTATTGCATAAAATTATTCACAAATAAATCAACATACATAACTCTATTTTCTTTGAAATGTGTTGCTGTGTATGTAAATCCACAGCCATTATCTTCTCTCTGCAAGTCTAACTGACCCTACAGACTCAATGACTGAAATAGACAGAGAAGGGATGCACTTTGTGTCCTTTGTTCCTGCATATACAGCAAAAAAAGGAGAGAAGGAAGCTTGAGCCATCCATACTCCAAATATATGTAAAGTAAAAACCACTGTAACAGTGCCGGAGCTGGAATATTTGCAGTGCTAGTGGGACAATCACTCAAAGGAAAAGCACAGTTTAAGCTAAACAAGCCATTACATCTCTTCAAGTAGTGGTCTACATAGATAGTAAGCACCTGAGGTAGGATCCTGTCTAGGCTTAACAATCTAATATCCAAATATTACCTGTCAGAGACTTGGCTGTGTACTGCAGAGGTATTTCCTGCCATAGACGTCTCAAACTTTTTAATCTCCTTGTATGTATTCTGAAGGAATAACATAAAATCTAATGTTTCTTTTCTCTTCACAAAGCATCATAAAGAAGGTTCAACAGAGTAAGTATTAGGGAATAAATTTTATGTTATGGTAATACAACAGATATGTTTACACTGAAAATATATTAAGCATCAGCTAGGTCAAGAAAAAAGGCAAGACTATTTCCTTCTTCTACCTTTCATTTCCCTCCCTCTCTCCTTTTCTTAGCTGTATCTATGTCCACAAGGCAGAAAATCCTAAGTTTTTGCAGCTGTTCATTGTGCAGGACAATTATGATTTTACATAGGACTCTAGCATCCCACCACTCAAGGATCTGAAACAAGATACTCTGTGACATGATCTGCTTCAGATTTAGTCACTTGAATTCATCCGTGATAGTTACTCAGGCAATTATGTTCCTACACTCTACATTTAAATGCATCTATCTCAGTTACAATCCAAGTACTTTTCAACACTAGATAATACAGATTTTTTTTTAATTGCTGCCCTGCCATTATCTCTTTATTTGATCTGAGAATATTGTCAATTTCAACTCTTGCTAACGTTTTTGATGGAGTAGACAGTTTTATAGTGTGTTAGAGAAGGGTTCATATACTACAGTGCGAAACTTCATCATGCACAAATGAGAAGGAAATCCGAATGCTATTATTTCACATATTCTACTCAGTAGACTAGAAGCTAAAATACTGTCAGCAATTAAATTAGTACCTACCTATGGTGTTTATTCAATAAGAACTTTCTCTTACATTGAAACAAATTTTTCCTAAGTAACAAAAGCAGAATCATAATCATATCAGTATTTAGACCAAACTTCACTGGCTGAGTTTACTACATAATTTTAACAGTTATATCAGCAACTTTGGGATGGTACATGTACAGTATTTGTAAGTGTAAATGCTCCCAGAACATCATATGTTTTGCAAGTTTGTATAATTAACATTAAAAGAACATAGGTGGTAGTTACCTCTGCTTCTCTTTTATTCTTTAAGAACCTTTTTGCTTCAATAGCTTTTATGGTGCGGTTTGGTGATGGCTTTGGAACCTGTATAATGGCTGCTTGAATCCTGGCCATTATTTCATTTTGTCTCCTTCTTCCTATGCGATGCTGAATATTCAACATCATGTGTTTAGATACTTGAGTTGAAACAAAATACCCATATGGTTCTAATATACTACCTATATAATTACGAAATAACTGCAATGAAGTCATAAGGAAAAAAATCTTCTAGGAAGAAAGCAAGAAGAATTGAGCAAATTACTTTTTTTTTTAAGTGGATCACTAAAAAACCATGAAAGCAAAAAATTATCTTTTGTCCACTGTTAAACCCTGTCTTAAGAATATTCTCAGCCAATGTGCTCATAAATTACCATTTTTATATCAATAAGTAGATGTTGTAAAATGCATTTGAAATGAAAGTATCATTCTACATTCAGGATAATATGACAGCTTAGCAATATACTTGTATATGTTCTCAATAATTGAAGATGAAGATATATTTTTAAGTACTATTATCAGAAAATGGTACATCTCTATATATGCTATATCCATATTAACGAATAGTGTGGTGCAAAAGAAGCACATTGGTAAAGAAAAACAGGTTGTATTCTGTGCCTAATAGGCATTTAAAGGCTTATATTAAATTCTAGCTCTAGTATGGTACCTGTTTCAGGTCTGAATTCAGCCCAGAAACTGGGAATACCATCAGGTAATATTACAATGGGTCTCAAATGATCAAGAAGTAACAAACATTTAAATTACACTTGTTAAAGTGCACTACAGATACATGCAGTTAAAGATGGAATTGAGTGGAAAAAAAGCGTTTTTTACAAAAAGTCGAAGTAAGTTAAAAAGGAAATATGTAATACATTAAATAAGGGAACCTTAAACACATACAGTTGTGAAATTTATGCTTTGTCTTAAAATCTATAAATATTTTCCATGCATGACAACATGCAAATACTCCTAATTTAACATAAACTAAGTGATTTTTAAATTGTAATATTTTTAAGGGTCTTATAACAGTATATTTGCTTTATATCTACGTATTAATGATTGTCATGCATAGTCCTTTTTTTTGTGTAAACATGACTGTACAGCACAGAATTAACAAGCATTCATACTAGTTTTAAATAAGTCATTATGTACATGACCTTAAGAAAATACTTCAGAAGTCAGTAAAAAGTAACTAGTCACCTTTTCCATGTCTTGTGCTCTTTGTTCCTCTTGGAGCTTCTGAACTTTCTGTTGTTCTGCAATACGTATACGAGCTATTTTATCTTCTGTTGCCTTAGATTTTATTTCAAAACGCTCTGAAATCTGCTGTAGTTGCAAATCAGTCTGACGTGGCATTAAAGTTTTCAAACGCTAAAATTAAATGTCAAGCCATGAAGAGTCAGAAACAGTAAGAAACATAATTAAATATGATAATTTTGAAATAGTAATTCAAACTATGTTTTCCTCTGTTAATGTACACAGAACAATATATAATGTCAGTGGAATACTTCCCAGAAAAACAGGACTAGCTCCATTGAAGAGAACATCCAGATTTGAACTAAAACAATGCCAAACTTTGTCTAGCTTGAGAAAAGGAGGCTGAGGGGAGACCTTATTGATCTCTGCAGCTTCCTGAGGAGGGGAAGTGGAGAGGGAGGTGCTGAGCTCTTCTCCCTGGTATCCAGTGACAGGACATGTGGGAATGGCTGGAAGTTGCATCAGAGGACATTAAAATTTAACACTAAGAAATAATTATCTGTCAAGAGGCTGGTCAAACCCTGGAATAGGCTTCCTAGAGAAGTGGTCAATGCCCCAGGCCCCAAAAGCCAAGAGGCATTTGGACAACACCCTTAATAATATGTTTTAACTTTTGATCAGCCCTGAAGTGGTCAGGCTGTTGGACTAGGTGATCACTGTAGGCCCCTTCCAACTGAACTAGTCTATTCAAATTGAAATACAGGAAATTTAACTTAAGAATAAGGAAAAAAAAAAACCTGAAAGGGTAATAATTTGCCCACACAGACTGTGAAGTCTGTTTTTGGAGATATTAAGAACCCAAGAACAAAGTCCTCAGAAACCTGCTCCAGTTGACTTCACTTAGAGCTGAGGATGGATTAAGTGACCTGCAGAGGCCATAGAGTCCTATGTTTTTTCCTCTTTGCACTGTTCAGCCTATTGCAGGCTGAAGTGTAGTATAAATATATAGAGATGTGCAATAGAAGGAATCAAACCACTGCGGCACAAAGCTCAGCACAGTTATAAATAAGTTTCCTAGAGGAAAAATTAGTCTAAATTGATAGAGACTGCAATGCCATCTGCAATCTGTACAGATCAAATGAGTAAGCTGCTGAACAGCTACTCTATTTTGTTTCTCTATGTATTTTAAGTCTGGAGAAAGCTTATAAACAGAAGAGGTAACACAGAAATGAGCTAAAGCAAAGTAGCACAAAACACAGATGTCACAGATAAACCATGTAATCCCATTGTCTATGTATAAACACAGGACTGCTGCTTTTCTGTAGAAGTATTAAATTTTGAATAGGAGACTTAAGAAGTGGCGAGAGAAAGCATGCAACATGTTTGAGATGTACATGTAAATATGCTACCTTTCTTCTTATAAATTTATACAAAATAGGAATAGTTATTTACCTCTTGATACAAAACACTTTCAATAGACTTAAGCTTTGCAACTGCTGCAGGTCTCATTGTTTCCATGGCTATTCCAGTGAGCTTTGCCTTTCTCTTTTTTTCTAAAGCAATATACAATTCATATAAAAGCTTTGTTGCAGCCCCATGCTGTCCTGCCATTATGTCTTGGGCCACATTCTTGTTAAACTGCACACCAAGGAGCTGAAGTGTGGGCTCCAGGCGAGAAAAATTGTTAAGTTTTGCAATTGCAACCCTATATGAATAAAAACAAAAATAACAAAAAATTAGAACACAAACTTATTTTCAGTTCCAACTTACTGCAATAAGCATGGTCAGGACATTTATCTCATACCAAGATAGGAGGGGGAAAAAAAACCACACAGGACTTCCTTAAAGTAATGTGATATACACTTTGGCTTAGGTTTCATCCTGCATGCAGTACAGGTAACTGGACTGGTCTACTAGGTATAACTTCTTGAAAAAATAGAGACCACATTGGGTTATATAAATCTTGATGCATGCACACACAAAATGCATCTGACAGCAGAAGCTTACCCCTAATTACAGCTAATTGTATACCATGTGCAAAAAGTACAAATAATTAGAATGAAGTTTCTGTATTAACTGAATCAATCAACTTAAGCTGTAACCAGTCAAAATATAGGAAATTATGTTAAAAGTCTATATATTAATCCTCATAACACCTTGTCATATTTCTTCCCCAATCAAAAGAAATGGACACGTGGGTTGGCGTAGTGTTGAAAACAAACACTACGGTCTCAGTGAGCAAAAGTTACATTCAAAACTGAAATAGTGGATTGCAGATTAATGTTTCTCTTGATATGTAGATTCTCCTGTGGAAGCACTCAAGATCAGTAGACATACAGGCCAAAATCCAATAACAATAAATTATCAGTGTATCACAATTTACACATGAAATTTCATCCAACAATTCCATAACTTCAAGCTGAGTCAGAGCATCATGCTTTCTATACTGCTCTGTCACTTCATTTCACAACAGTTCCTTCACATGAACCAACAAGCTTTTGAGGTCAGCCAAGCTGCAGCATAATTCTACAAAAATGTCCAATTTTAACTTAAGACCTTCTGATAACACAGTACTCAGCTTCTTCCTAGAAGAAACAGTTCAGGAGCTCATTATTCTCACAATAATAGCCCATGCCTTATACTTTAGACAATTATATATAACTGCAGCTTCCAACTACTGAACACTTTTCTGCCATTGATTCAAGATTAAGCTGAGCCTTGTTGTCAGAAATCACCTCACATGCATTGAGAAGCTGTGGTGATATCACCTCTTAACTTTCTATTCTGTGTTAAGATCAGATTAAATTTCTTAGACCTACCTCATAAACAAAAGATGTTGTAAAGACATTTCAAGATCATTGTAAGAGCTCAGGGAAAACTACAACATTTCATTTTTCAAATAGGGACAGCCAAACTGGAAAAAGTTTTCCAGTAATACTCCTTTTAAAATTTCTCCTCAAAAAAAATTTCTCAATTATAATTCACTTCCTTATGTGTCCAAGTACTGTGCAACATAAGCAGCTAACAGAGTTAAATAGAGCTGTGTTCCCTAGTTAGTTGCAATGACCTCATATTCTTTTCTGTTACTGTGTTCTAGACTACAGTTACTCATGCTAAGAAAGGAATCCATGTTTCTTCCATCACCACCCCAACAGGTATGATCTTGTCTTGGGCTGTGTTAAGACACATTAAAGTGACACCAGCTTACCAAATGATCCATGAATAATAGGCTTTTACTTAATAGCACACTCCAAATTGTAAAAGTACTACTTGATAGATATTAAGTTGGCTTAGGCAGGCACTGGATCTTGCAGCATTCCAGAACCATACAATGACTATTACACAGTAATAATTGCTTTTAATGTGCAGGAGAAATATGTTGGAATTGAGAAAACATTGCCTCAATTCTCAATAGTTGTCAAAAGATGAATGTAAATAATGAAGAAAAGCTGAAAACGTCAAATTAAATTGTCTTTACAAAGTCATGGTGTACCATAGTAATGAACACCGCATACAGTCCTTCTCTCTCTCATATGCTGGATGCTCCCAGACCTTGGTATTCATCCAGGCCTTTCTCTGGACCTGGTGCAATACATCCGTGCCTTTCTTGCACTGAGGAGTTCAGAACCGGACACAGCACTCCAGATATGGTCTTGCC